TGTTTGGACATTTAATGGTATCTAGTATTTCTCGTATATTATTTTCATTTTGGGGGGCAATTTTCTCAACCCTCATGGTGGAATTTTCTAGACCAGCCATTGTATCTTCTACGTCTGAGATTCGATCCTCTATATGATCTAGTCTACTTTTAATACTTTCAAAGGAGGTTTTGATTTCCTGTCTTATAACCTTCATCTCTAACAGCTCCATTTGATGCTTTCTTATGATAATGTATTTCCTCTTTCAGATTGTGCAAGAACTTCCTCACCTCCTGGAACTCATTGGTTCTTTTCTCCTGTGTCTTCTGTAGTTCATTGTCTCTCTACTCCTCCACTCTTTGTTAGCTTTGTCACTATGAATATTCCAAATTCTTTATCTGACATTCCCATGAGTTCCATTGTACTGTCTGTGGGTGAAGAGGAGTTATTTTTTTCCCTTGGAGGAGAGGTATTTTCTTGCTTTCTCATATTTCTTGTGCCCCTGTGGTGATTTCTGGTCATCGGATGGGTTATGCGTTTTGTTGTTAGGTTGTCTTTTATCCACCTTTCCATTTTTTTCTTATGTGCACTAATTGCTATGTCTTTCTCTCCTATGACTGCTTTTACTATGTCCCATAGATCATGAAACTCATTCTTGTTGATTTCAATGAATCTTCTGATTTCAAACTTCATTTCTTCAGTGATTGTGAAGTCACTCAGGAGTAGGTTTTTTAGTTGCCAGATGTTTGTGTGTTTTCAATGAATTTTTCTGGAATTAAATTCCAGTTTAATTCCATTATGGTCAGAGAAGATGCTGGCGAAGAGTTGTAATACTGTGTCGTCTCTGTGCTGCCCACAATAAACGGATGACCCTGAAGAGTTATAATACTGCGTAGTCTTCGTGCTGTAACACTGCGTCGTTTGTCCTGTCTCTCACTCCTTCCCTCAGGAAACCTGTTCAACTGTCCCCTGGGTCAGGACAAGATTCAGTGGGAACTGAGGAATATTCTGACTCTAATAGTAATCAGATGTTTGGATACTGTTCACTTAGACCTGCCTAGACACTCAGTTTGTGGAAACTGAGCTGCCAAGGGATAAAGTTAAAAGAAAAGGGAAGAAAAAAGAGAAGAGGAAAGAAGAAAAACACTCTAAGAAAAAAAGATGATAAAATAATTTTATATTTTAATTTTAAAAGGCAAAAAATGAAAACCACGTGGCACACAGTATTTTACAGCTAAAGTTCAGTAGCCATCTCAGAATAGGCCTTGGTTTGTGCCTCTCCTAGAAGGGAGTGGGAAAAGTATGAATTAGCAAATTAAAGGAGGGCCTTAAGAGCCCAGAGAATGCTTTACCTTAAAAAAAATTTTTTTAAAGAAAATTAAGAGACACAGGGAAACACAGAGAGAGATGGAGAGAAGGAGACAGAGGTTGCCCTAGACATGGATCTGGAGGGAGAAGTCTCAGCTTGTCTTCATTTTCAGTCCCTGAAAGCAATATTTCACAGCTGGAGTTCATAGCCATCTCCCTGCTCAATCTTTTATTTTTTTATTTTCATTTATTTTTTTGAAAACCAGTTCACTTTAATGTTTTTGTACAATTTAATAAATAATCTTTTGATGACTGCAGACAAGTAAGACTGGCTATATTCAGAAACATCAGTCATGATGGTTTTCCAGATAGTGTATCATCTTCAAAAATTACAAAGAGTTATTTGTATGCAACTGCTATCAAACCAGTAAAACAGCATTTATGCATCCATCATTTTCAGTAACTTGGACATATTTCCCACAAATAACCTTGCCTCCTGTGTCACAAGGCCCAACTCATTCACGTTCACCTCAACGACAGTACCTTTGGTGATAACACCCAAAGTTGTATGTAGAGGGGATGAGGGATTCTTCTTTACATCGAGTAAAGGCAAAAGGTGGCAGGCAAAAGGTGGCTTTCAGTTCAGGATGT